TGAGCAGCGCTTGTGTTTTATTTACTTTAAAATGACGTCGGACTCAGGAAAACGTACCTCACGTCCTTATTAAAGAAGGCCGAGAGGAAGACGTCGTGTTCTGAGACACATAAGCTGGACGTCCGTCCCACCGCCGTCTTTTAAAGACCAGGGCATAAACTTCGTCTCCTCTGCAGACCAGTTTCTGCTCCACCATGTTGAACACTATAACATTTTACTATGTGACTTGCATACGCAGAATGTACTTGCACATTCCGATAGGGAATGTAATCAGATACAGGCGTTTACACGGCTATTATTCTTCTATTTAACAGATTATTTACTGGATTACCCACTTCGTTCAGTCGGATAGAAAATTTTATTCTGAATGGCCTCAGTCTAGTCTGTTCGAGGTGTACACATGGAAGTATTCTATTCTGATTGAGCTATTAGTCTGATTATTAACGGATTATTAGGCTGCATGTAAACATGGCTATTGTTTTATAACTGTTTTACGACAAGAGTTGATCTAAAATACATTTTTTAAGTACATTCATTAAATTCATTCATTAAGTACATACATTAAGGCCAAATAGTCCCCAGAGAAAGCATTTTTTTCCTTTCCAGATGTACCACTAATTTATCAACATTACATATAAAAACTCATGGTTAAAAAAATGGATAGTAATAAAATGTTAAATATTTCTGTTGTAGACATTGTACCCTCCTATCACCACCACTGTAAAGAACTCTGAGTCAGTACATTTCTTTACAATGAACCATTTTATGATTGAACTGTGCAGTTCCCCTTTAAGTGAAGAGAGTTGGAAGAAAGGGAGATGTGGATGTTTTCCCACAGCCTTGCTCTACTTCCTTCATAGTGAGAGGAACGGCATGCAAATCTTGAAGGCAGTTGAACTGCCCAGGAATTCCCAAGTCAAAGGGCTTTAGCTTGTACTGGAAAGCCAGTAAGCTGGTTTTGTTGGGCTACGTGCATCGACGACTGTGATCCGTCTTCTTTTGAATATATTCAGATTGCTAGAATATGCAGATTCGCAATTTACCAAAGCTGGAAAAACTAGAAATAGCTTGGAAAAATGTTGACGTGCAACTTTTTTATGATTTGTATACACAAAACAGAAGGAGTGGTGTCTCGCTTGCTGTGCTAAGTGTCAAAATCCCCCTAATGTAAGACATATGCTCACTGTTGACCATCTCCAAAAGGTTTCTCCTTTCCCAACGTGATGCAGTTGGCCTTGCCGGTAAGTGGGACAGGTATTACTTCCGCTTTCTTCTTTTTGTCTTTTGTTTTGGCAGAGCTTCACCAAATCAGCTTTTCATGAACCGGCCTTTCTCAATTTCACTGTGTTGATTAACGCTAAGCAAAACGCATCCTCGAAGGCGTGGCTTTTTGTTGGAAATGTCATGTGATTGGAAATGTCATGTGTGACGCAGCAGGATTGCAGCAAGGAGCTGCTGGTACCCTGAGGGAAACCAAGAAGAACTTGCTCAGTACATCCAAAAACAAGTTGGGAAGCGTTTACTCTGAAACTGTCTGTCATGTGGGCGAAACCTGTAGCTGCAGACCAGCGGCTGACATGACAAAGTCAGTTCTAACCAGCTTAAACGGAGCAAATGTTGTTGAAGTCATAGGCAATGCTGATGCATTTCCTTAGGCAAAAATAGATGAGTGCTCTGCTGTGTGGGCTGTGCAAGGCCCAGCAAGCTATGTTCTAACCCTGTCTCTCTAAAGCTGCGGCTATGCTGCCTGTGCTGATCTAAGACTGAGCAATAGTGTTTAAATCAAGTAAAATCTTGCTTGGCCTGTGAAGCGTGCTGTGATGCTAGATTGTTTTGGTTATTGACCAACTTTGAGCTACCAACTTAAACAATAGTTTTGTGGAAAATCGAATTCTCTTCACTTTAAATGTGTTTGATCAGCAAAGACACATGTTTGGAGTTCTTTAGTTTAGCTTAAAAAAACCAACAGTTAGCATTGTGCAGGGTCATCCCCATGTTCCCAGGGTCCTGTGTTCCCATGGTCCCTTATTAGTAACACTCTAGCAACCACCTGGGATACCATAGCAACCACCTTGCAACACCCTAGCAATCATCTGGGATCAAAGGCCTCCTTAATGAGGGGCGGGAGTTCCCTCCCCCAAAAAAGGATTAGTTTACATAATTCAATCATTAAGATGTAAACAGCATCATTTAGAGTCATGGAAACATACAGGCTACAGATTTCTTTATGGTGGTGGTAATAGGAACACAAATATAGCCATTTTATTTACTATGTAAAACCAACAGTGAGTTTTTATATGTAATAATAACAGTAACATGAAGTTAAATCCGAAATTTTTTATTTTTTTTTTGGAAACTATTTGTTTATTAAAAAACAAACCTTTATCACAGTACTGTCAAAACTGTTTCAGGCATCAGTGAAGGAATTTGTAACTATTTAATGTAATAGCTTTCTGTGAGGGAGCTTTTAGAGGGATTAATCATTTTGGATGTCTGTGTTCCTTTCACCATCAGTGAGAACAACTGTGACAAAGTTTCTCTAGAACTAAGCGTTTTATATCCGACCATGCTGAATAACTTTAATATCTTAACTTATTTATGCAGAAATTTGGAAAAATCATGTGGAAGGATTCCTCATTAACTCATTTTCACAGTACTGATAATATTGGAGGGCCCTCAGTTTAGCCTTGAATTGTAATGTTTATGATTACATTTTAAAAAGGAAATATTTTAATAGTTAATTAAAATTAGATTACATTAATGAAAAAAAATTAAATTAGTTTATTTCTCTTGTGCTTGGAAACAAAAGGCCTGTAGAAAGCGGTTCATGTCATATAGAGTTTTGATGTGTTATTTAAAGACATAAGAGAATGTACATTCATGGGACCGAGGTTACGCTCCCCGTTGTACATACCGCATGCCTAAATTATCACAAAGTTGCCTCCAACCGACTTGCTGATGTCGTTTTTGACACAGTATGACATGCTGTTATCTATAAAACTGAACACAAGTATGCAGCATAGCTGAAACCATTTTGTTCATTTTTATAAATAACAGAAACCAGTTAAACGAGTCTATTTGAGATGATATAACTCAGTGTGGTTTGAGGTAGGCATATGATGCAGTTTGCATGGTGCTAATTGAAGTAAAGCTTTCATCACTTGTTAGCTGCATTATTCTTGTATCCCCAGTGCGAAAACTAAAAAAGCAAAATTAAGACCCCAAACATGTCTTGGCTGATTTGGAGAGTTGGGTAAATTAGATTTTTCATTAAGATAGCACTGAATAAGGATGACTGTGGATTCACCTCATGACTGCGTTAACGGAAAATTCCGTCTATTGTTCAAAAAATCAGCATAATTAAATTGTTAAGACAAAAGTTATTCAGAAAGGTTTGATGTGAAGTGCTACATTCTAGACGTCTCAGAATTATTCATAGGGGAGTTGATAAGAACCAGATGTCTGAAGTGTTTAATCCCTCCAAAAGCCACCTCAGATATATGTACAGTCATATGCAAAAGTTTGAGCACCCTCAGTCAAATGACGTGTTTGTTGGTTTTGTAAGTGAAAATATGTTTACACGTCATCTGTAGGGAACTTAAATATGGCGTTTTCTGCCACGCAATTTCTATTTTTTGCTGTTTTTAACATATTTAGGGGAAAACAAAATGTGCCAAAACCAGAGGAGGAAGAAAGAAAATAATGACTAAAGTAAGTGTCCTACCAAAAAACAAGTAAATACAGCATGTCAACATAGGAACTGAAGATAGGAAGTCAGGCTCTATTCTTCTTGTTTTGTGATTCTTTTGGTCTAAAATAAAGTGGTAAAGCTTCAAAGTCAGAAGAGTGACCAGTCACAAAGCAGTGCAGATGTTGTCACTGACAAAGCATAATAAAAATTAAACAGAAAAATTTAATTTGTAACTTAAGTAAATGTAACTAGTTAATACAACCACTGGCCATAACCTTCGCACAGGCCACATTTTGTCTTTTCATTAAAGTAGAAAATGCATTGGAATGTGCACCTTTTTCACTTCAAAACATGTAATTTGACCAGGAGTGTTCAAACTTTGCATACAACTGTATATACCTGATGTCTGAGACATTGCCCTATTGTAGAGTTATGGTAAGATGTGGTGGGTTCTTTGGTTTGTTGTACTTACTTATTTATTTCTTCATTTTTAACAAAATTAATGTTGCAGAGGTACATGCAGGGTGTTGTAAGGCAAAATAGTCTCCAAAGAGAACTATTTTTGGTTAGATTTGCCTATTTCACCACTATAAACATCACACATATGAAAACTCATAGTTAATAAAATGACTGTTTGTGTTGTAGACATTGTACCCCTGGTTCCCATCACCACCATCTAAAGAAATCTGTTTCAGTAAATGTCTCTACAGTAAACCATTTTAAATCAAACCACTTGAAATGACTTTGTTTTTACATCTCAGCAATTGAACTGTGCAGAAAATTTGAAACTTTGGTGGAATTCCCCTTTAAATGGATCTGCATAGCTTGAATCCAGCACTGCATACTCGGGCAGTATCCTGAAGTGCCCTGATTGTTAATAAAGCTCAGGTCTGACCAGAATCCCAGCTGATTGTCTGTCTTTCTTAGTCAGTTCAGTGTCCTGCTAGCTGCTTGGCCCTGTCTCAGCGTGATCCAATAGAGAGCATCCAAATGTGTGCTAGAGTGGCCCACTTGAAAGAGAGGTAATAAAATAGCCTACGCCTCCCAGGAGAGCAATTCCAGTTAGATTGCTGCTGATGAAATGGGAGTTGTAGTCCGGTCCCTTTCAAAGTTTGGCAGAAGTTGCATGGCACTGAAGCATAATCAACTGCATTTCCCTTAACAGGTAGTGTTGAAGAGGAAGTCTGTGGATGATTGTGTCAGATTGTTTCTTTGGGCCAGCATGCTATATGAAGCTAACCATGCTGAAAGGCTAAACTCCTTCTCTCTGATGATCCTCACCGTTTCTGCATCCTCTTCCTCTCCTCAGGCTCGGAGCACAGATAATCTGGACAGTTCCGGGGAGCCCGCCACCCGCTCAGTTGGCACCACTGCCAACTTGAAGGGGAAAATGAGCAAGAGGTGAGAAACTGCCTGTCCCCGATTCTTTTACTTTGTGACCACTGTTGCCTGGCTCATGCAGACTAAAACTTCATTGAATGTTGTGCAGTAACCCAGGGGTCGACCATAGGGCTGTACAATACGTTGTTTGTTAAACCTTTGTGATACTGATATCTCAAAAGGTTGCAACTGTCCAGAGCCTGCTAACGTTCGGGCAAGACGATATGGACGTACAACGCAATGTTCAATAAGCTGTCAGATATCACGAATGACTATGAGAAGCGTTTAGTGTTATTAAAACAGACTTTTTATTTCTGGATGTGTAAACAGAAATCTAACTTCTCCTTTAAGCAAATAGCAAAATGCAAAGTTACAAAGGCACCGTTCATTATTGGGCAAATTAAAAAGAAATGAAATATTAACAGCTGCTTACATCAGAACTGTAAACACATTTTTGTGCAATAAAAGGCTGAAAAACATCAGGATTACCTCAACAGCTTTTCTGTAAAGGCTACAGAAACAAATAAACACAGTTATTCTTATATAGGTACACAAAAAACAAAAAGTTTAGTTTATTTTGTTTAATGCTATCAAATATGTCTGTTGTGACAGTAGTTTTTCATGCCTTACACACTGAAAACACCATACTGGGTGGGAACAATCCTAATGTTAGATGTATTTTTACGGAGCTGTAGTTCAGGATAGAGGAGTTTAGAGCTGTGCTAATGTGTGTTTTATAATTAGCCATTTAGCTAAATACACTTCTATATTAATCAGCGGAGCGTTTCACACCGGCCGTGTAAGTCACACCGTTTGCATGAAGCGCAAAAACATGCTTTGGGTCTGTTTTTGACACGTGGCATGCTGGCAGTTTCTAGGCAGAAACAGTAAAAAATGCAATATCCTTGCTGTATTGTACTCTTTGACAAGGTGAGTAGGTAAATATTGTGAACCAACATGCATCTTCCTCTCTTTATATAGCTGTGCATCACATGGTGAGAGGGCTAGCAACTGTCACAGCAGCAAGTCGGGTTCTTACTGTCATCTACACAGTTTATTTAATCATTAAACAGACAATAAAGACATTTGCATTCCGTAAAAATGTAACACAAACAGAAACCACTGTCGAGTCAGATGTGAAAAGTTTATTTAATCATTAAACAGGTCATAAAGACATTTGCATTAAATGAAAATGTAACACAAACAGAAACCACTGTTGCATCAGGTGTGAAAAGATTATTTAATCATTAAACAGACAATAAGAACATTTGCATTACGTGAAAATGTAGCACCAGCAGAAACCACTGCCGCGCCAGATGTGAAATAACTAGCATTGCAGTGTTCCGGCTTACCAAACCCGCCATGTTGCGTCTGGTGTGAGATCGGCTTAACGGTTTGTGTTGGCAGTGTAATGATGTCTCTCCGGCGCTGCTTGTATGAGGTCATCTGATCTGTTCTGTCACCACAGCTCTTAACGATGTGTTTAACATGGAAACTCATAACACATAAACGGTAAGAATGTGATTTATCATGCAGCCATAGAGTGCTGTGGGTTTCCTGACCAATCACAGTTCCAGGATGAGTTTCTGTGGGTATTTTTAGGGGTGTAACAATACGCAGATTTCATGATACGATACAGACATTTTTGACATTTTTGATACAGAATTAGAAAAGAAATGCTAGCGTAACTTCACTATGTAATTTTGTATGTTTGTTTATTCAATTCCCAAAACAAAAACATAAACTATAACTACTCACAAGCTCATGTAAAATTAGATTTTCTATATAATTTTCCAGCTCTTCTGGCAGAAATGAGTGTGAGGGAATTTTCTAATGTGGCTCAATGTGTTTTGGCTTATGGTTTAACCGGTTAGCAGTGGTGGAGTACATTGGCAGCGATATTCCTTCCTGAATGGTAATATGCATGGCGACACATACAACAGGCACAGACAGTCACTGTTTACGTCAGAGATGTTATAAATGAGGAGACTGGCCACTGGTTAAAATTCAAATGGGAATGCTTGTAACTTTCCTTTAAGGACTTTGTTTACATGGCACAGTTGCGCTGTCCTACTGCGCGTGAGTTCCACTGGAATGAAACTGGGGGTGTAAATCTGCGGCTCTGCATTCAGACCCTTCTCTCTAAAGGTGTTACAACGTAACAGTCTCAATAAAGGTAAATGCAGTTAGTAATAGGGATCAGCTGATTATCTAATAATTGTGACAGACCTACCCCTAGCAGAAATAGGCAATATTGTGAGGAACATTACCAACTTCCCATTTAATACTGGTAGGCACTGAATGAATTTGACCAGCCACAAATCCACATTTGTTTGTAATGCAACGACTTACTCACAATAAGTGACCACTATTAGACTGCCCTCATAGTTTAATGTCTTAATGTTTTTACATGCCTAGGAGCCAGGGCTCAAACACAAAATCAAACTTGAAATTCTTATTTTTGCAGTCTGTACAGTTGGTAACAGTTGCATTTTATGCAACCAAAACTAAAACCCAGTTTTCACCAGTGTGACCAAATATCAAGCCAATGCAAAGGTTTAAAATAAAGCTCTGCACATGCAGGACCCTCATGAGTTGCACTGCATTCTAAAATAGGAAGCATTTCAGTTTCACTTCCTTTTACAAAACTGATAGTGAGATGCAAATTTTCCTCACATGGTGTCACAACTCTGTTCTCATGTTGCACGCTTCTTCGTACTGAAAAGCCTGCACAGAGTGCACACCTAGAGCCAGCATGCAAATCTCAAACAATCCCTGTAATGTTGCTCATTATCGGTAAACATTCAGTATTCAAATACATTTTCGTGACCGATACTGAGGAAACTTCACTTGAAAATAGTATGTCCTTATTCTTTGGAAACTGTGTTCTGCTCATGTTTATGGGCTATCCTACCTAAATTAGTTTAAACTGTGAACCCACAGTAAAAAGTATTTTTTAACTTTCCAAGGATTATATTATGATCTGTATAAACCCAAGGCATTAACTGAGATAGTAATAAGCTAAATGACCTTTAGGCCCAATACCATTTTCACCTCTTGCCCTGCCACTTAGCCCTAACCCCTCTGTTTTGCAAGTTCACTGCTAGGGGTAGGGTGTCCCGATTTTATTTGAAGTAGAGCGGTGGGGCGAAGTGTTAGGGCTACATGGCCCTCCAAACAGAGGTTCTTTAGAGGCATCAGAATGTAACTGCTACACCATTTAAGGTGCCAAAAAAAAAAATTTGAAGGAAAATTTGAAGACTTCAGCTTCATATCACTGAAGAATTAGGGGTGGGTGATAATAAATAATCCCCCTCGTATGATGTCCTAAATGTGACTACAGCCCAGCAGTGAGGTGCTGAACTTTACCCTCCTCTGCTATCACTGCAGACTGGCAGGATCGCCTACAGAGCAGCGCTAGTAGCCTCTTAATGAAGTAATATTATTAGAAGGTCTCATTTCGTGGGGGAAGATTTCAACCACTACCCCTTGTAACTCAGTTCCAAGGGGCAAGGTGACACTCAAAAACAAGAGGTAGGGGTAAAATTAAATAAATTGGGCCTCAGACTCCCATAATCCTTCATGCACAGCTCAAAACAATTTGAAAAGCGAGTGGTGAGATGCTGCAGCACCGGAGTTTGAAATGCAATGAAGTCTACATTTTAATTTAATGTTTTTAAATATAAGATGTAAAGGTGTTGCATGGCTCACTGTAAACTGTGATGTGTTAGTACAGCCTGCTCAGGCTGTCTCAAATGTGTGTGAGTGAACACTGAAGAGGAGCCTTCGTATTACGGCACTAGGAAGTTCTCTCGGACGTTGACTGCGTCCTTAGCTTTGAGACACAACTAAAGAGTTTCAGTCCATGGGTGGAGACTTATTTTGGCCACACCCCTGCATTTTAGAGCAGGAAGTGAAACTGCATTCCCGTCTCTCATGGCCACATGGTAAGCAGTTTGATCGAAGTGGGCCTCGTTCATCAACCGTTCCTAAGAAGAAATTTTAATTTTAGTATTTGGTAATACTTTTGGGGCCACTGGATTTTGTTCAGGGTTGTGAGCTTCTGCTGTTTATGTGAGTGTGGTGGTTGAGAACTGAAAATCACAGCTATCAGTAAAGCACTGTTTATCTACAAGTACTCTAGTATGTGTTTAAAATATAAATCAAAACATTTTATTGACCTATATCATTTATCTATATACTCTATACTTTATTGACCTATATAGTTATCAAAATTTTGCCCCCCATTAAATCAGTGATGATATTGGCCACACAATATTCATATTGATTGGGCACTAATATATAAATGTCCAGAGACAGTGTTGACCTGTGTAGAATGCAGTATATCATGTGGTCTTTATGCTCAAACAAACTGATCATTTATTCTCTGGTTTTGATTGCAGGCTGTCTGTTGTCAAAGGCCACTTCCCAAAGCTTGTAGACTGTGCCCACTTTCACTATGAGAATGTGGACTTTGGTTCCATTGAGGTAAGTTTTGACAAATCTTTTCTTTTTGTCAAATTTTCTACATGAATAGGCAGTCATGGGCTGGAGGTTAGGGAACCAGCCTTGTGACCGGATGGTCGCTGGTTCGATCCCTGAGCCGACAGTACGTGACTGAAGTGCCCTTGAGCAAGGCACCTAACCCCCAACTGCTTCCCGGGCACTGTGTGTGGGGCTGCCCACCGCTCTGGCCAAGTGTGCTCACTGGCCCCTAGTGTGTGTGTGTTCACTAGTGTGTATGTGGTGTTTCACTGCACAGATGGGTAAAATGAGGAGGTGAAATTTCCCCATTGTGGGATTAATAAAGGTATCTTAATCGTAATCATTCTGACAGCCTTTGACATGATGAAGTTCCATGCTGTATTAGTGAGATGGTTCTATGTGTAGCTCTGAAGTCTGGCCAGTAGTTCCACTACCAGCTTTCATTTGGACCTTCCTGTGTACACAGCCATGAGAATCAGCGTAACTTGACTAAATTGGTCCCCAGACTGAGATGCTGTTCATAGCGTGATACTTGACTTAATGAAAAGCTAGATATAAACACCTTCCAGACACTTTGTCACGGGATTGTGATTAGATAACTAAAACCACATAGAGATGGTCAGAGATATATTAAATGTGGTCACAATCAAAATGTAAACAGAACGCAGTTTCATTAATCATATACAGTTATGTGAGCAATGCGTCTGACAACCGCGACTAACAGGTGAGAGAATAAACAATGAAACGAAAGATGGAAGACATGCGAGGCTAAAATTGAATCTTCATGCACTCCAGGCTGACCAAAGTGTCCAAGCTGATCTTGTCGACTAATATTCTAAAAGAAAGATGCGTAAACAAAACTCAAAAGGAAATGACGTATGTGTTGATGTGCTTTCTTATGTGGGGAAAAGTACAATTACATCTCATCTGCTTACACTGAAGATGCATTTTAGAGAAAAGTGTAAATAGAATCTGCCCGAAGTTGATCCAGATACGATCTGGACCTGAAACACGTTGCAAGATCTTAACAGGTTCTAAGGTGCTGTTCACAGAGAGCTGAATTACCACCACAGGAAAAAAAAACATGGCATTTTGTGTAAGCTGCCCATAATTTTTGAGCTACAGTAAGTAATAAGCAATAGCTAAAAATTATAGCTACGTACGTTAAAATTAGGTTGCAGCATCAATTTAAGATGTTTGCAGGATCAGTGGAGGGCATTTTTTCACATGAAAACCATGTTTACAATAGGAATTGTATTTAGAGTTAATTAACCGGTCGTATGTAGTTTGCTAGCTAATGTGTGTAATGCTGTGAAAGAACAAGTTGCCAAATGTTCAGTAGTTTTATGAAATAACTACTAAGTACATCTAATTACCAGAAACTGATACGACCTAGAAAATTCCAGTGACTAATGTTAGTAATGAGCTTTAGTGAGGTTTGTAAGGGTAACCTAAGCTCATTCTGACTAATCACTTACAGTTTGAACTGCACATTCTCGGGAGTATGTTTGTCAGAAAACAGACATGCTGAGAAAGCTATCATTTAGGGGTCTGCGTTCCAACAACGATATCTTTTGGCACGGGGCCTGTTTGCAGTTTCATGCGCGGTGTGGGCGGAAAATGAACACGGTGTGGGCGGGAGGGGGACAGCACTAAATCAATAGATGTGAATTAGCATATATAAATGATGTTAAGCAAAATAGCAAGAAGTATTAAACTAGTTCTAAAAGGCTACATTCGCACAGCAGATAAATGTGGCTATTTCTGTTTTTCGCACCAAATCAGATTTTTTTTTGTTTGGCTGTTCACAATATCTTTTAAATGTGATCTGTATTCGAATCAGTCTGAACAGATCAGCTCCTAAACTGACCCACATGCACAAAAGAACAGAGCTTCACGTTGCTTCTTGTGGCTCATCCAGAAGTCAATAATCATAACTGCCAACGAACGCCAGTCGCTCCCAGAGGGTTCAGTTTCACCTTTGCCAGCATCGCAGGAGCCATCATGAAGCTTCATTGACTGACAGCTGGGCTCATCACCCATCAAAATGTATTCGAGCTCACTGGAAAAAGGGCACGGTCATTACTTTGGTTTGTGTCTTTTAGATTCTTTAAACATTGCTTTCAGACTTTTAACTGTTCTTCCACTCTGCAGCCTTGTTCTCCTACGACCGCATTCGGCCGTTTCTTTCAAAGTCTCTTCAAACGAGGAAGGGTCTGGATAAGTCTCTTCTAATTATTTTGTACAGAAACATCAGCCTACGTGTTTATGAGGACCCAATTTAATGGGGACAACTGGGTAAACATAAAATAAACACGATGTTCAATTTCCTGCACACCTTTTGTACACATGACCGTACCTGTAGTAGTGTGAGAACCACTGATAATTCACACCACATAGGGGTAGGGGAAATCATAAAACCCACCAGAACTTTGATATTTCCTGGTGATTTTAATTGCTGCGGTCAAACTGACCCCATAGATAAAAGATGCTAGTAAATTGGAAGATAACAGACAGGTTAAGAAAAGAGAATACATGACAATAAAGCAGACCAAAGGCAAGTAATGTTTGCATGCAGTATATTGTTTCAGTGTAGCCAAGATAACATTAACTAGCATGTACATTAAGCACCAATCAGATAAATCATTATTATTATATAACAGTTCCAGCTGTCTCAAGTATTTGGAAAATTTGTTTCCAGTTGGGTCAGTTCTAGTTATTAAATTTGCAGTGTAAAAACATCCAAAATGTCTTAATAATAATAATAATAATCCAACAGAAAAATTCTCGACAATCTGTTTCACTAGTGCTTTCTTAAGATTATGCCTCTTATGATAAAGTATGCTTTAAAAATCAAAAACTGTAAGATATAATTCAGTAAAGCATTTAACTTCCATTATATTTCACGTTTGTGAAATATAATGGAAGTTTCACTCTTTGTGCCTGACAGAGACACACACACACACACACACACATGGCCACATGCTGAGCAGTAGGATGCCAATTTCTTTAAATAAACACGAAGTTCAACAAATCCGTAAGATGGCTGGTGGCATTGAGGAGAAATCTGGGACCAAACTCCTGAAGAAAAATCTCTATATATATGTGTGTGTGTGTGTGTGTGTGTGTGTGTGTACATACATACAGGGAGATTCACTCAAAAGAGGCCCTGAATATTCTGTTGTAACTCCTGTTAGGATGAAGCAATCTGAACCAAAAAAATACACTACATACGTTGACGTATGTGTAATTGATTGCATCACATACGATGCTGGAAGTGATCTCTGTTTTCTGCCAGACACATTTCGACGCTGCACTCCATGTTCCTGAACGTATCTGCAGGCATATCGGGGGGAATAGCAGCAATTTTAATTTGGATGTTTTCCTTCAAATCTTCCACAGTGCGAGGCTTGTTCCGATAGACTTTTCCTTTGAGCGTACCCCAAAGGAAGAAGTCTGGTGGTGGTCAGGTCCGGCAACCATGGTGGCCAAAGCCCCTTTGAAATTACCCTGTTGCCGAAGAAGGACTCAATTTCTGCTATGCTCCATGCATACAGTATACCGTACACCACCGTTCTGATGAGAGGTCGAGTGACTGAGTGAAGGGGTACGGGGGTATGCACCCAGAAGCTGCAAATGGAGGTTAAATGTTGCGACGGGGGTCCGGCGCCTACCTCATCGCTCCGATGCAGGGGCATCCCAGCTTGTTTGAAGCTCCATATACTGAGGAGTGTTTCATTTGGATTGCTTTGTCCTAGCGAGAGTTTTTACAGAATATTTGGGGGCTTTTTCGAGTGAATCTCCATGTATGTATGTATGTGTGTATATGTGTGTGTGTGTGTGTGTGTGTGTGTGTGTGTGTGTGTGTGTGTGTGCATATATATATATATATATATATATATATTTGCATGTAATAAGAATCTTCTAAGCCTAAACTTCACATCAGAAACCAAAAGTTGTTGTTTTTGTTCTTTCAGTCTTAAGCAAATGAAACATGGGTCTTTCTTTGAAAAGCATTGTCCAGAGTCAGGGCTATTTTGTTTTCAAATTACCCATGTTTGTCTTCCTGTAAAACTGGGACTGTTTGTCTTGATAATGTATGAAAACAAACTTACACACACACATACTCATACATTTTGTTCACCCGTGTGCACTGAAGTGGAAGAGCAGCAGCCCATTTCTTTTCCTCTTTGACTGAATGGATTTTCTTGCTCTGAGCTCTAACGTGCTCTTATGATATCAGATGCTCATTGATGTTCTGTTTACACTTTAGTGGTCCGTCCATCCGTCTCTCTCTCTCTCTCTCTCTCTCTCACACACACACACACACACACCACACACACACACACACACTCATTCCAACACGTATTTAATAATCCTTTGGTGTTTTATAATAACTATAACTCACTCAGCAGATCTGCTGTGCTAAATCAGCACACGTAATTTAAACCAGTTTTGATGGTGATTTCCGCTGACGACTTTTAGTCTGATATATAGTCTTTCACAGAGCACCTACACACTGTTTGCTTTGTTGCTCTTGTTTTTTTTTCTGCTGTTGGCGATGGCAGTGTTTTGTAAACTGTGTGTGTGTGTGTGTGTGTGTGTGTGCTGGGTTTTTGCGACTGTGATGTGGTTTGTGTGAGTGTGCGTGTCTGCCTGTCTGTCTGTTTGTCTGTGTACAGGTGTAGACATTGCCTATTGTCTGGAGCTCATGGCCACAACTACTCACATTTTGACCGATAAGAATGCAGAGCCTGTGGCCAGGCTTGTGCCGATTGACATATTGACGATTGAATATAGTCAGTTACCTCTAATTGCCATCTGTTGCAATTGTTGATCAAGGTGGTCGCCCCATCTGCGACTTTAAGATGCACAAAAGTATTTATATTAGTCTCAGAGTGAGTTGTCTTTAATGTGCAATGTTTATTTCTGAAATAAGGTTTTAAATAAAAGATTACCAAAAGGCTCTCAGTGCATTAAGTAAATAGTACCTACAGAAATAA